AGTCTTTAGTGGGTTAAATATCCCTTACTAAAGCAAACAAATCCAATTTCACTTAAGATTTTGAGTTGGTTTTTAAATTTGAAAAACTTGTTGCTATTATTAATAATAGTAGCAATTAAGAGAAAATATATTCTAAGGCTTCGGAAAAGTTAAATAAACTTAGTTACTCTTCCTAAACTTAAGAATAAATAAATTATGAAAGCACGTTCTCAAACTATTAATAAATCTCTTGTTAAAATATTAATAAATATCTTAACCACTGTATTATGTATGAACATATGATCTAGATGAAAAATATTATAACGAGACTTAAATCTTTTGTTAAAATTGAAAATAAAAATGACAAATATTTTTGTAAGAATTCTAAACATTTTCAAAAGAATTATCTAAATATAAAATTTAGCTGGAAAAGAAAGATAATATATTTTTTGAATGAAACTTATCTAAAATTTCCCTATAATACTTGCTGATTGATTCTACATGTATTCATAATAATATTTGAGGGATTGATTGTTGATGTAGAAGCCATGGGTCTACTGCATGGTGTTTAAAGCATAATCTACTTCACCCGGACATGGAAGATTTCTTATTTAAAATGCTTGAAAATGGCTTTCAATTTGACAGAAATATGATACGGCAAGTTCTTGTCATGGAATTTTCACATATTTTGACACGATAGTGAACCTGTTTCTTTTTCTCGTTTTTGGAGATTTCTTTAATGCATTTTTTATTTACAACCTCCTTTTTTCTAAAATTATATGCCATTTTCCGTCTTTGTAGCATTGATGAGTACTCAACATTTGCTACTTCCTCGTAACCACTCCTTTATTACTTATCCATTATTTCATTGAAGATTGTTAAATTGATGCAAACTCGCAAATTTTGCTATAAATGAGTTTGAAATTGGAAATAGGAGCCAGAAGTTTACACCATGGAAAAATCTAAACTCTTCATTCTCCTTTCTTTATTTGAGAATAATTAGTCAAGATATTTTAAATTTATATATAAATAATTGATTAAATTGTAAAAGATATAATCAATGTTTATAATGATAATAATAATAGTTATAATAATATTTATATTATCAATAAAGGAATTGTGTCGGTGTAACTAAAATCAAATTGAATAATGTATAAGATAGAATATTGTAGAACCTTGACATTGTTAAAAATGAGAGAAGCACTAGTCAAATTGGACCAATATATGCAAACAGGATTCTAAACTTTTTTTAATGATTTATTATTTATTTTAATTTTTAAATAGCAAGTCCCTATAAAATTAGAATATATTTTTTGTGACAATAGACATTAAATATAATAATGAGTGGAGGGTTTTAAGAAAACATCGTTTGTTTAGGAAATAAAAAGATAGAGTGACTAATACACATTTATAGTTTTGTAATTATTTAAAGACTATAAAGTTTTTGTTTATTTTCTTGCCAACTATTGCATACATTTCATTATTTTGTAATTAATTAATAACAAAAAAGTAGTTTTTTTAAAGAAAATCAATATATTAGTATTTTTTAAAAAGAAGATAGTTTTATATTTTTTTTACGAAAATTTTAATAAGATTCATAATTAAAAAAAAACTTAACTTCTTTTTATTCTTTTAAATGAGTATTTAATTTTGAATGTTGAAATTTTGATATCACTAACTAAATGAGAAGAAGTAAACAATATTATGTGAGCAAGTTAATAAAATACTATAAATCTAAAAATATTAAAAGTAGTTGGATGAAAATGCAATAATGGAAAATGATACAATTTGACTAGTGCTTTGCTCACATTTTTTAAAAGAATTTGGTTTAGAAAAAAAGTTTACTTTGGTTTATGACACAATAAAATTAAAATTGTATAGGTTTTTTAGTAAAAAAATATAAAAATATAAATATTAAGTAAAAAAATGTCAACTTTTTAAAAGATTACCCTTTTTTTAATATAAGTAAAAAATATGATATTTTTAACTTTAAATAAATTATGTAATAGAAGTAATAAAAAATTATAATATTTTTCGAAAAAAATTAATTGATAAATTGAAACTTTTTAACATTGTCTTAATTTTAATAGCTGTGTATAATTTTTATTTTTAATGTTTTATTGTTCAATTTTGATAACCGTATATGTTTTTTTTTCTGTTAATCGTTTCTAATTATCAATAAATGTATACAAATTTTAGGTATGTTTTATATAGTTTTATGTATGACAGTATTTTTTAATACATGATTTAGAATTATGTTTTATGATTAATTTATAATAAAAAATAGCAATTTTATAAGTGATTTTAGAATATAAAATTATTTTTAATTTTTAATTAAAAAATAATTAATTTTAAAAGTGACTTTTAATAATCTACCTTCAACAACGGCTATTTTAGAAGAAATAAACAATTAAAAATATATTATTACAAATAATATTTTTTAGAAAAGACATTATTTTTCAAAACTCTCCCATATTCAAAATTTGATAACTGTATATAAGTTTTAGTTATTTTTTATAATTTCTGATAACTTTAAAATATTATTTTATTAGTAATTTCAAATGTTAAACTATAAAAAATAGTAACTTTAAAGGTGGTTTTAGAATAAATTTAAAACATTTTAATTTAAAATATACGTAGTTTTAAGAATAATTTAAATTTTCTAGATAAAAAATTACATGAATTAAAAAAATAGTAGAATAAATCATAAATAATATACAAAATTAATAGACATTGATAATATATATATATATATATATATATATATATATATATATATATTTTTCTATTATCCTGAAGTTTTTTTCAACTGGAATAACATGAAGAAGAAATAGTGGATTTGAGAAAGAAAGAGAGAATTTATTTACTTTGATTTGATAAAAGAGGTTTTTGATGTGTATATTTAGTTAAAAAATATAAGATAAAAGAAAGATAAAATATAATATGTTAAAATGTGATATTAAATTTTTTATTAAATATTTTATTTTTTGCACTTTATCATTGATCAAAAGGAAAAAGAATTATTTTATTTATGAAGGCTAACTACCATAATAAAAGAATCTCTTGATTAATTGTTATATATTAATTAGATTTATTTATTTTTATTTTTATTATGATTAAATTAACATTATAAAAATTTATTATTATTTATATTTAAATAATTAAATTAATTTCAAATATGTAATTCAATCAAAATTATATTTATTATTTTATATAAATTAGTTAATTCTATATATCATTCTTACTGTTTCATTTAATAACTTATTTTTTCATAATTTCTATTTAAATATAATTTTAATTTAGTTAAATGCTATAATTTTTTATTTTTTATTTTATATTATAATTTTAAAGAAATAAAATATAATTTAATTTTAGATATATTAAAATAATTATACTTATGAAGACAAAAATAATCAATAAATATTTATTATTTATTTATTATAATATAATAAAAATTGTAATATAAAAAATAATTATTAATCATTCTTTATATATATTCATAAACCAAAATAAAAAAAACGTCATCTGTCACAACCTTAAAATGATAACTACGGAACATATTAAATTAAACCAAGTTATAATGTTTATCATATTTTGTTAGGTTTAGGAATTAAATGTTTAGAATTTAAGGATTAGGAATTAAAGTCTAGGACTTGAGGTTTGGGTTTAAAGTGTTTGATGTTTATTAAGAGATTGGGTTTACAGTTAAGCTATTGAACTTAGAACGGTTGAATTGAAGTTGAGCTAGAATAATTGAAGATTAAATATTTAAATATATTTAGTATGTTGTGTCTATTAGAATTTCATGTAAGTTTCTACAAATTATTTTATCTTTAATCATTATTAGAAAGATATATGGAAATATTATAAAACTTATCTTGGTGATTCAAAGTTTTGAATTGAATAATTTTTTTTAACTTTTTAAAATGCTCTACATTTTAATTGATAGAATAATTATTTTAATCGATTAAAATAATTAAAAATCATGGTAGTTATAAGGAATTTGTTTTAATATGTTTGAAATAAGTTTTTAATAGATTAAAACGTTTTTAGATTTTAAGAATGATTTTTGACCAGTTATGTTTTAATTAACTAAACATGTTTTTAATAGATTGAAACTTTTTAAACTTTAAGAATTTTTTTAAATCTTTCTATTAAATAAGTTTTTAATAGATTATTTAAAAAAAATAAAATTTAGTTTATTATAATATCATTTCTTGGTGTGGATGAAAAACATAGTGTTATACTTTTAAACAAAGTGAATCAGTTTTAAATACTTTCTGTATTTCTTTTTCACTTTCTATTTACCATTGTTTATGCAATTTATACTTATTTTTTGTATATTCTTAAAAAAAATTGTACAAAAGACTACCAAATTTCTAAGATTAATTGATATAACAAAAATTCATTCTAAATATTTTAAAAAATATTGTGATACTTTAATTCAGCCTGGACTCAATCCTTTGATTGTAAGAGGATGGTGTAAGGTATAGTATGTTATGGGGTTTAGAGTGGTCTATAGAATTTAGGAAATAATAATAATAATAATAATAATAATAATAATAATAATAATAAATGTGATGATTTAGCTTGGTAGTTTTAATTCGTAGGATATAGAACAATTATAATTATTAACTAAAAAATTTAAGAAGTTAGGATTTTTACAATTGCTTCAAATGTACTAAACTAAATTCTAACTTGGTGTGGAGTTGCGTTAGACAATGGATACTGTCAAGGAATTTGTCCTGTGTACTCGTAAAATGTGATGTTTGGAGGAAAATAACCACGGCCCAAACTTGTGTGTACTTCAAACAAAATCATAAAAAGTCCTCAGCTGCTCGGCATGTGTTTTTCTCTCAAAAAAATTCCCCAAGAAAATAGATGATCTATTGGTGTCTCTGAAAGGAGGTTGCAGACGGTTTCCTCTGCTGCCAGATCCTGAAGTGTATACCTTCTATTGCAATTTATGCCTTCCAAAGAACGATAAAAATTATTTTCCAAAAACGCAATCAATGACGCCTTCATAAATCGTCATTGCCAATAACAGGTACTTTCTCATAGGCAGAACTTCCTCTGAATTTCTTTGGAAGAATGCACCGACTGCCAAATCTCTGCTGAAAGTATAAAAGAAGAGCAAAGAAAATACCACCACTAGGGATTATGATGTCCCAGGCGGTGGAATAAAAGTCCATTCTATGGTTTGCATATATATATGATAAATCAAGGTACCATGCAGAACTGTGAGCTCTAAAAAGATCATATGCATGCGGCAATATACGAACAATTGTTATCCCAACGTAAAAGGAAGTTGCTAGAGCTTTCCCTTCTGAGTTAAATATTATGTTAAGCAGAATCTGTGGGAGGAGAAAACCATCCAAGAGCAGACCAGCATAAGATTTAAAGTCTTCCCACAGGGAAGGAGGTTGGTATACATGTCCACGAAGAAGGTTAAACTTGTGGCGAGAAAGCCGGAATGGTTTAAATTGGTTCTGGCGAGAAATCTTCCATATGTGCACCAAACAAGCAGTCAATCCACCGCCAATGTACAATGGTAGAATCATATAAAGAACTTTTTTATCAGAACCCCAGAGACCTGGACGGTTTCCCTCTCCCTGTCTTGAGGTCCAGGTCAATTGTACAAGGCGCAACTCTAGAAGAAAGGCTACCATAGTCACCATCCTCACAACCACCTCATTCACTTCAAGCCAGCCTCCGCTCCCAAGAAAAGCATTCTGCAAACTGTGTTTCCCCTTGAATAAAGCTTCAAAGTTCAATATCAGAGGAATCATGTGACCTAGAGTAATAACAGCAAGCATCACAACAGAAATGTAAGGAAGCACATCTGGATGCTTTTTCACGTGCAGGAGTTGCATTCCTACAAACACACAAGCAAGTGTGTTTGATACCAACAGCATAATTAACTCAAAATCCATTCTCCTTATGGAAGCATCTGCTTGGCTTGTGTAAATGGAATATGAAGACAACCGAAGGGGATCAAAATGATAAGGGTCTGACTTTTGTCGCGTGCTTTCTATAGTTCCTTTGAGAGATTCATCTCCTTTTGCATTCAAAGGAGGAAACTGAACATTAACCATGATTTCACAGTCCAGAGACTCATTCTTTATAAGTATTTTGTCCATTGATCTCAAAAGCCGACATCCTATCATACAAAGAACTCCATTATTCTTATTGTAAATTCCTTCAGCACCAATTTTGACTTCGGTTGACAAGACTCCTGTACCAAACTTGAAATCAGGAGGGGAATTAACTATCATCGTATAACTGACATTCAACAAATTGCTGTAGTTTTCTGATTGAATACCATGTGCTTTTGGCTTTTCAGTTGTCCACACAGTTGGAGCTCCATACGACTGTCCATTATAAATTTGATCATTGACAGATAGTGGTGATGAGTAACCTTGAGCCACTTTCCCTTTGCTGTCCGTCACTAACATGCGAAATGCCATATCAGAAGAATACCCATTCGGATATGTATTTCCCTTTCCTCCAGCATTCATCTTTCCCACACAAGATTTTGTCACCTTCTCAGTTTCAGCATACTTGTATTGGAAGCCATGGAGGATTTTTGATACCCTCGATGAACCCCGGAATCCAACACTACTGAAGTAACCAGGTTCATCAACCACTTTGTCACTCCAAATCTGCCCCAAAACTGTACTCCTGTTCCTCAGAGATAAAATTGCAGGAAAATGTAAGGTGAGCCTAATTTTGCAATCTCCAACATAAGGACTAAGCCAAGAAGAGTCTGTGAAGTTCATGATCCGGCAAGCAACTGCGCATAGCCGATTCTCCTTCTCATCCCACATCCCCTCAGAAACCAAAGTTGTATTCGGCTGAAACGGAAATACAGCATCCTGGTAACCGGAATCAGGAAAACCCAACAGGATCTGAACTTTCTTCCTCTCCGCACATAGAGTACCGTGAAAAAGCATATAACCAGGCAACTCTTCACCACTACCATTAACAGGATTGCAACTACCATCACCACACTGACTCCCATATTCCAATTCATACCAATCCGTGTGTCCAAGAAAAGCAGTGCAAGCACCTTGGTTTAAGTTTCCAAGGGACAAACCCTCCCTATCTGATCCACCTCCACAGCCATTCTCTCTTTCATTCCCAGCCACTGTAAACTTGTATTTCGAACTCTGAGACAAAGCCAATATTGAAATAGGTTCGAAGTACTGCAAACTATTATTGCCATCATAACTTTCTAGTGTTCCACTAATCAAACAATTCACAAGGCTCAGATCTCTAGGGTAACGAAGCTTAAGAACAACATTAGCATTTTCCATGTTAACATGAGTTCCTGTTCCGTACATACAAAGGTTACCGGAAAATTGCGACCAAAATCCACTCAGGGTAACGCGCATCCACTTCGAAACCCTCCAATGCGTCACTCTCCGAAGCAACCTTCCCGGCGCCGGCGACGGTGCCGGCGCCTCTCCTCTACGCTGCTGGAGAAGCATTTTACCGCGCAATTGAAACACGCCGTCCGTCGCGCTTCGGCGAACGGAGGTCAAGCGGAACGACACGTGCTTCAACGTGGCGGATCGGTTAAAGAGACGATCGCCGCCGGAGAAATAGCCGGATTGGAACCGGAGCTCATCGGCGACGCCGGGGACGGTCCCGGCCTCGTTACTCACCGCCGGTGCAGGGACAAGGTGGTTGCAGAGGCGACTGTAGGTGGATTCGAAAGCTAAATCTGAAGGATCTATAGAAACAGAAGAATACAAAAGGCAGAAGAAAAGGAAGAAGATGAAGAGCGGATTGAGTGATGTTGTTTCCATGGCTGAATTTGCGTCACATTTGGATGGAGAATTCGAATTCTAGGGTTTTAGAAATTCCAAAATGGCTTTTACGTATAAAGAAAGAACGTGAATCGGAAGAGTAGAAGAAACGGAGCACCCCAGAACGCATCGATATCAACGTTCCTGTTTTCCACATCTATTTTATATATATATATATATATATATATATATATATATATATATATATATATATATATATATATATATATATATATATATATGTAACTATTTTTTATTTTCTTGAATATCATATATATACTGTTTCTATGTAAGAAAATATACTTGGAAGTGAAATCTTTTGACTATGACCAATGGGCGATTCTGAGAAAAAGTTTCTCTTTGAAGTACGCAAATTAAAGTTTACATAGATTATGTATTTCGTTTATTATTTATTTATTTATTTATTTTAATTTAATTTTTATAAATAAAATATTTAATCAAATTCTTTATTTTTATAAAATAATTATATAATTTTTAAATATCAATCAAGTTTCTTAATTTTTTTAAACATAATAATATGTTGAAATTAATGTGTCCATTTTATAAATGATCATTATGTGTTAGTTTTAAGTTATATTATGCGTAAATATTTAGCTATTAACAATTTTTCTTTTATTTCATAGAAAATGATCAAGTTGCGTCTTTGTCTTTAAGTTTTAAAAGTTTAATTGATCCCTTTTATTAATAATAGTCTCACTAAATTAAGTAAAATAAATACATGATAAATTGAAAAGGTAGATTAAAAGATACATTTTGCTTTTATTTAATAAATTTCACTCATTTTTTTTTAGAATATGTTAAAAAAAACCTTTTATAAATATTTATGAATGAAAAATACAAAATAAAAAGTGAAACAAACATTTCTGTTGATGGTTGCAGCTTAATTTAATTTTTGTTCAACCCTTTCATTTTCAACACAACAGTGACAGATCCAAGAAATCATGGTTTTAACTCGGCCATTTTGGGTTAGCATTTCATATACTACACGCAACTTCCAATTGAGGTGATATATACTCATATTGACTTCCTAGTCATCATTATCATCATCATCATCGTATTAATCTAAACAAAGTATTCATTGCAAATTAGAAAAAAACATTTTTCATTCCTCTGAAAGCCACAGAAGTTAATATCGTCAAGTGCTCAATGATACCTTCACCAAACTCCTTAATCTCCATAACACATTTTAAATCATTATCAAACGGATCAAAGGGCACATCAAGAAAATTACTCCAATCATTGTAATTCTTATTTCACATTTTCACATCATCAAGCCATTACATATGTATGATACATATGCGTACCCCACAGGGTATTTATTATCAATATATCTTCACACTTCTTTTATTTTAGGAAGGGGGTGGTTTGGTTTTCAATATTTTTATCAAGCATACGTTTGATATTATACAGTTAAGTGAAAATTTTAATATTACACATAAGGTTTGAATATCTTTCACACGAAGCTGGATGGTTAAGTCACAAGGTAGAACAGTTACTTTTGCATCTCAGCGAACTGGCTGCAATCAATTCCCTTGTCAGAAAAAGCCTCTACAAGCTTGGGGAAGAGCTTACCAAACATCATCTTAAATCCAGTAGAAGTTCCCTTGTAGTTTTCATTCTGAGTTTTTTCACCACCAAAAGCACATCCAATAGGAGCTCCTTCAAGATATGCCTTACAAGCCAGAAGTATATGTTTGGAACGTTGTTTGAAATGCTCCTCCACCAATGCCTCAAAATGCTGTGTTTAGAGTCATTTTTAGTTAGCCAAAGTTCCATCTACCTAACTATATTCAAAGATTCAGATGCCACCATTTTCTTAACAACTATAGGCACTTGGTATTTGTCATAACTGATTCCAGTGTAACAAATTAGAGAGAAACCAAAGTAGAGAAGTAGTCATTTTACCTTGGGAGGCTTTCTTAATAGATACAGAATGGATTTGCAGGTGACAAGGAAAGCATTCTCATTGTAACTCACTGAGTTTCTCTCCCCTTCAGCTCTACCAATTTGTTGATCATATCCAGCCTCATTGAAATAAGGCTTCTCATTAAGGACAAGGGCCTGCAGAGAAAGAAGGACTTGAAGAATTGTTGAAACTCCAGGGTTCCAAACTTCGGCAGCTGTACCGGTCCATGTATTTAGGAGACTCAAACAGACTTTTCCCGTCTCATACAAATTAGGATTTAATCGTAGTCCACCAGAATTGTAATGCACCATCTGCATGGGATTGCAAAATTCATAAATATGCATCTTTCTCGGTAAGGATGCAGCTAAGTGCTATGTAGAGGGAGTTACCATGCACATAAGTGAAAATAATTACAAAAGCACACCAAAACTACATTTAGAAGCTTACCGGGGGTTCGCTGGGATACTCTGGAGGGAAATGTATATCAAAGAAAAACAATCCATCATGATATGGTGTCCCAGACACACCAACAATGGCTGCTCGCATGAGATCCATTCTTTCTTCAAAGACACGGACATAAATAGTTTCTGTTTGTGAAAATAACGATTGTAAGTGGATTTTGAAGAAAGGTGTGATGAAGCTTAACAATTATAGGTATTTCCCTTTTTTGTCAAGTAAATACTACTCATTTTCAAATCGGTTGCAGGTTAAAACTTAATGGTTAATGGAGCTTACACATTTGGATATACTTTCAATTGAACTTATGGATTTATGCTTCTGAAAGATACCTGACAATTTTTTGTTCATCAATTTAGACGGTTATAATTGAGATATTTTTAATATTTGATATTTTATCATATTTTTACTCTATATATAAATAGAGTATATGACCCATGTGAGATATATTTCATATATCAAAAATACACATATACAAAACTCTAAAAACTCTCATCATATATAACAATGTACGCCGCAAAACATACAAAATAATATGGCTCAAAATAAATAAGATGAAGTGTGCACCTGGGAGATTTTTTTCCAGGATGCTCCATTCTTGTTGTACCTTCTTCACCCAAACCTTTTTACCCTACAAAGGACAAAAATAGGGAAAAAAAAAAATTAGCTCCAATCCTTTCAAAGCAAGTAGAATGTCACTGATGATGTGTCAATTTCTAACCAGAGATAATGACAATCCTTTCCCCTCATAAAAAAAGTGGTGGTCTGAGCAGTTATCAATTACATCAAACTGCTTCAACTGATCTGAACTATTGTTGTCTAAAGAAACTGGAAAGTCATTCCTCTCATGAGTCCTGATAACTTCACAATATGGAGTCATGCCTTCAGAAGACTGCGGCTTGCTCACCAGATGTGATTTAGTGTCAAGGCCACAAGTGTCCAAATCTTTCTTATCAAGAAAGTTAGATTCATTTCCCTCTTTAAACCTAGGGATTGGGGAGAATTTTCCGGAAAGTGCTACACCAAGTGTTTTGAATATCCTGGCCTTAATGCTGGAGAAAAGTTCAAAGGCAGCTTGAGGAATGGATGAGGAACTACTCTCTCCTGGATGCTTTTCACAATTATCTCTATCACCATTACAATCTAACAAGCTCTGTCATGAAAGTGATATTCAGCTAATGACTTGAAATCAATGGTAAACTCAACAATCATAATGTCATTCTAAAATGCTGTTTTATGATGACAATAGATCCATAATTTTGAAGAGTTTAAAAGTTTTAGTTTATATTGAAGAGTTTAAAAGTTCTAGTTTATATTGAAGAGTTTAAAAGTTATAGTTTATTTTTAAGAGTTTAAAAGTTCTAGTCTATTTCCTCGTACATATTACATTACTATACAAGCATACAAATTAGTAACATGGAGATGCACATGGATATAAGACATACAAATAATTTATCGTCCTCACCTTTCCCTTCTGGTCTGATAGACTTTTATGTTCAGTCATCTCTTGAGAGAACTCCTCAACATTTGCTTCATAAAGAACAGGGGTTGCAGTTGAACCTTCATGCTTATCAATTCGAAAAATTTCATAAGGTGCAACCTGTTGGGGCACAAACAAGTTTGTAATAATAACTTTCTGAAGATGAAGGTTACCAAGTATTGAATAAATTACAATAGAGAGGAGGATTATCAAATAAGTATGATGTAGTTCAAGTTTAGTGATCATAACTTACAGTTAGTTACCAATTATCACTACATCAAGTATTTGACAAAGAAACAAAAGAATTTCTTATTGTATCCCAAAAGAATGGAAAGGATCATTCTCTACCAACCTTAACAACACAAAACTGCTGCTACAAACAAACCCTATTTTCAGCTAAGAAATATTTTATGCCTCACAGCACAGGCACACAATTACAAAACAAGTAGTATTGGGGGAGAGGAGAGGATCGCTAAACTATAAGGATCTATTATTATTTATTAAACAGTTTATCTAGATAATGCACATATGGGAAGCGTTGACCTCAATTTTTACATCTCCATATATAGCCATTAGCATCGTTAACTACAATATATTGAATACCAAAAATTTTGTCATACCTTTGTTGTTAAACCAGTAGCCCATTTTACCTCCACATCACCATCTATGAAACCGGTAACATTGCCAATGCAGGAGAGGTAACTATTATCTATCAGAGGAGCCTCTACATTCACATCAGTCACCGACTTCACATTATCTTTGTCAGCTTGGTCACCAAGCTGTTTTTGAGCCGCCTTGAACACAATATCACCAAAACAACAAGAATAATCTGGATGCTCAAGTAGTTCGTAGGCACTCACAGTTTCCATCATTGCATCTCCAGTCAAACCATTTGTCTCAGATGTAGGAGCAGTTCTCCATTGCACCTTTACAGTATGCTCTTTTGCATCAACAGAAAGAACTACACCCCATCTTTGATTGCTAGGCATGGGAGGATCATCAGAAGCACCTTTTTCCAGCACAAACTGCTGGGGCCAAAATTCATGACTGTTTATGACATTCACTGGGATTAAGTTGAGTGGATCTAATCCCAAAGTATGTTCACCATTTTGCCAAACAATATCAACTTCGGTCTTTATCTTCTCAATTATAAATAATTGCCCAATGTTAAGATTTGTCCTCTTATATCCTCTGCCCATGCTATGCTCATTATGAGGAGATGCATCTCGAATCATCAGCTCCTTTTGATCCACAGCTGGGAGCATGCACCAGTCACCAAGTTGCCAGTTTGTATGTGAAAAACAGGACAACAAGGTCAAGTTTTTTGAATCTTGCCAGCATAGAGGAACATTCGCATTCAAATTGAAACCCAAAAGAACAGAGGCAAGCCAATTAACATACACCAAGCCTGCTTCCACAGCACAAACAGTTCCTTCACCATAATTGTCTTTCCAGGTTCTACTCAGCCATCTAGCTGGTTTAGAAGCTGTGGAGGTCTTAACCTTGACTCTCTGCCCTGGATAGTAGGGATACTGTGAATCTTCAAGAAAATTATGAGTCAGTGGTAAAAGCTTATCTTTTTCCAAGGTAATGACCTCGCATTTAGTTCCATCGTCAAACAATATAATCACTCTGTCTACTACCCTTTGAACCTGACCAATCCATGGCCCCTTAACTACATAATCACCTTCTGAAATTGAGCGAATCTTCATAAGTTTCTTGGAGTTCACATTTTTTAATTTCTTTCCTTGAACACTTTCTAAGTCCACTAACACATCAACATTTGTGATCCTCCCCATCTGTCCGGATGGGTCTGAGGAGGCATAGACCACATCCCCATGGACAAATGCCCTCTCAAATGAGAGAAAATCATCAATCTTCCCAATGCTTTCCTCTAAACTTGATAATATGCTCCGAGCTTGTCCACCATATTGAAAATCAACATCCTCTTGATCCTCACTGCTACTGCTGTCACTAGAAGTCTCCCAGTCCAAATCAGCAATTTGAGCATCCATCAACTAGATGCCTGTCATTGTGTGTTTATGGTAACGTCAATAACATAATTACAAGAAAATAACTTGAAAACACAACAAGGAAAGAATAAAGCTGTTAGTCAATTAATGGACCAGAATCTATGAAGGAGCATTAACAATAAATAGGGAGTTAAGAGGATCCTTACCTTCTCAAGCAAGCAGAAACATTGAAATCCAGGGGCTACTGAGATCCACAACAGATATGTCAATATTGACTTCAAAGGATATTTGTGTACAATGCAAATGTGTCCGTTTGATACTGATGTTTGTCACAGATAGTAAGCCAGTTTCTTTAAAATATTTTCCTGACCACTGAAACTAGAAAGTTGGTTGCAAAGGAGTTCTGTCTGATAGAAAAACAGAAGTCGATGGAAGACTCCAAAATGCCAAAGGAGATTTGCCCAGTTTGAACTGGAATTTCCACAGAAAGAACCTCTTGGAAAGGCTTTCCCAAACTAGTATCAAGAAACTACTGCTATCAGATTTTTTTTTGTGATTTTCTGGAAGAAAAACCAAGGTAGTAGGGGGAAGCTCACCAAGATAATCAAATCACGCCAAAGTTGATTTTCCCTGGTGAAAGTTAGGAATTCCTAGTGAAAAATATGTTTACTTCCAGGAATCCAACCAAAGGAAATTAAGTAACTTGCCAAAGGAGAGTTGCCCAGTATAGTTGAGCCTTCAAACATAAATAAATTTCAGATAGTTAATAAATTTGCCTCATCAAGTTTGGAACTTGGAAGCTATACTGCCAAAGGAGATTTGCCCAACAGTGAAGCTAAACAAGGTCTGGTCTAACAGGAATGCTTTTCAACAGAAGAATCAATCAAAACATACTTATTTTTTTGTTGCATCAACAAGGTGATGCTATCAGATGACCCGTCTGAAAGAACTAGGACGAATTTGAAAGACACTTGCCATCGCTAGAACTCGAAGGGCTTCTATTACCAGATAACTTCTTTTGAACCTGCAACAAGTAGACTAGTGAATACTTTCACCAATCATTTTCTAAAGAGAATGGAGACAACCATAATGAGATAGCAATCATAATAGGTAAGATGACAACATTTTGAAATATCATGCTAACTCACGAGGCAAGAAAAAAATGAGGTTTACATTAAATTAATGAACTACTTTCGAAAAATCAATATACTTAATTGCATATGAAAGAAATGAAATCGGGATCCTTGTGTTTTGACTAAACAAGACTTGAAATTATTATAAAAAATGACGACTAATAGTTTTCTGAAGAATGGTACATACAACATAATTTTCTAAAAATGATTACTAATAAGGTGCGTGCAAGTCAGTTTTTCTTCTTAAGCATAAAATCTATTATAGTATTCAACATAGAATTCAAATGGTAAGGTGGCCATTACACGCAACCCAAATAATGAAAAATTGAAAAAATAAAGGGTATTTATCACCTGTTCCTGAAACAATTGACAATATCTGGAGATCAAATAAAGCTTTATTGCTTTATTAGTTGGAAAAACAATATAAAACATTACTTCAAAATATGTAAGGACTTCTAACTCTAACTAATCATCTTCCATGAAAAACCAGTCTGCGAATCCAACACAATCAAATACAAAAATTCTAGCATTGGAATGAGTTTACAGTGGACAAAGAAACTTCTGATCTATTAACTCCCCAACCCAAGAGTAACAAGGAAAAAAATAGGTTAGTTTGAAGAGGAAAGGAGCTGTACCATACCATTTGAGAGAAAGGTTGGACCCATATGAGATATCACACTAATAGAAGATCCAAGACCAAGAAAAACCATGACTCTAAACTCCAAAAGGAAGAAACACAATCCTAAACATAACAAGCTGAAAAGGGTCACTCACTCCCAAATCTTGGTTTCAGTTTGAAAAGGTGGGTGATGTTCAGATAGGCCTAGTTCCACGCTCAATCCCTCCATCATCCCCTCCACCAAATTTTGGAACCATTTCTCAGGAACACATGTACATACTTTTTCTCTCGTGAAATCCAATGGCTCCAGAGGATGTGGGAACTAGTTTAGATTTGGATGGTACTTGTTGCCTTTTAGTTTTAACCAATAGCGGGTGCTTTTTAATTAACTGAACCATAGCAAAAGAATATACCAAACTAAACAGTGTCAGAAAGATACTGTGGTCGTACAAAATAAGCTACAGTTCGCTAGTCTGATTGGAATAATTAAAAGAAAACACATTCTAGAATAAAATATTAGCATTTTGATGGACAAAATAAATTGAATTAAACTCGATGAATTTATTTAAAAATTACATTACCATTCTAACTTTTCTAAAAATTCTATATCCTACTCATTTATCTTTAATATTGAGACATGTACTAGGAAGTGTTTGAGACATCTTCAAAAGAATGTAAGGTATCGTCCGACATTTTGATTAAAGCAAATTTCATTGCGACAGAGCGGTACCAAATCCTTTCCCAGCTTACCAAAAGGCTTCATCATTGGGAAAAAGACGAGAAATGACAGAAGGAACAAAAGGGAAGGGACTACCATAACCATTTGTTGCTTTGCTTTCTAGGGTATGAGAAAGTTTTTATAAATTATCTTAAACTTATAGAAAATATTATGAGCATAAGAAACCATTTATTTAAACAAAACCTTATCTTTGGACAAACTAGATTTTGAAAAGGATAAAAAGGACTCCTAAATGAAGAAATTTAAACAAACGATCCCATAATACAAATTTAATTTATTGTATCGTTCAAATAAGATAGAGTACAAGTATATAATTTTATATTCTGCATTATCATAATCATACTCATAGAATATGATTCATTTTCAGAAAAAATAAATAAGTGGTGAAACAGTAGACACGAAGACTTGGAATCTCATGCTAAAAGGCTGCATATTTAATTCCTTTTAGACAATATTAAAAAATAAACAAGTTTTTTTTTTTACATTTAAAATATGAATATTATTATCTATCTAATAAATATAAATAATCAATTCTAAATCATATATAAATATATATATATATATATATTCACAAATTAAAATTATAAAAAAATATGGTTGGGAAATATTTCATTCTCTTTTCCGTAACATGAAAACCTTTTATTAATAGTTCAGTAAATGTTAAAACATTTCCTGCATCAAAAGGTACTGTGTAAGTAATGTTGTTAAAGCGATGCCACTTATCAACCTTTTTAGTGATGCACTCAATCATAGGATTAATTTGTAGTCATTAAGAAAGATTATCTCAAGTTTCTTCTCTTGGATATCCTAGAAAATATGCTACTTTTCCCCGGCCAAATCAGATATATTTTGGTTCTTCAAAATTGAGTGAGATTGTTTTGCATAGCATGATCAAAAGGGACAACGATTCTTTTGGAATGTTCACAGAAACAGAAGTCTCTTTACCTTTTTCTTTTCCCAGAATAGCGTGCCCAATCAATTTGATTCTATAGATGCCTGAACTGAACCAAAAGACAAGCATTTCCTTCTCTAATTGTAAAAGTGTTGAAAGGATGTGATTTGGCCTAACCACACTAATTAAAAGACACTGTCTACCATGCAAAGCTAAACTAGATAGACTTCTAACAGAAAATGCCCAATTGCTTATCACTTTTTCTCACTTCTATAACCATATGGAATTTTAAACCTTATTCTTTTCCTTTTGCCGTTTGGTGGATTTCCCTCATTTCAGATTGACAGTTCCTTTTCAAATTTGATGCGCATACATGTGCCCTATATTTGATTCCAAATTCCTTTGACTACCCTCTTGATCATTGCTTGGGGCCAAGTATGGAGGCATAAAGTGCACTTCTTTTTCATTAGGCAAGTTTGTAAAAGTACCACCGGTGCAAATTCTTTGGACTTCTTAATAAGATTTCCTAGTAAACCACTTTGTTATCACAACTTCACTTGTTCAAATCATGACCTATATTGCTTAAGTTGCTACATGTTATGGTGTTCAGAACATATGTTTTCAGAGGTGGAATATTTGAACGAAATTTCCATACATTCTCACAGGTTCAATATCGATGATGCATCTGCAAGAACATTCAAGTCAATGCTTACAAAAAATGAATAGAAGGTAAAAGTTAGATTGAGAAACATTTTAGACTTATATGGCTTATTTATATTTTATTGGATAACTCTCAATTTAGTTGTGTTGATGTTTTTTTTACACATGATGATGTGAAAAATGAGATAAATGCTGAGAAATCACTAAATTTTTTAATTGTTATTCAGTAATTTTTAATTATAATGAGATTCATAAGGTTCATATATGCTTTTGTAGCTTTATCAGAGGATCATCCTTAGCACAATTTGCCAAATTGATCCCAAGTCTCCAAAGAGGATCATCATTAGAAAAAACACCAATGCTGTTGTAAAGAGAGGTCCAGACTCCAGAGATTTTAAGAATATGTAAGAACTTTCTGACTTTTATTTTGTCTAAATGGTATTACCTTTTATTACAACACTTTAATTAAGATGGGGCATCAAACATCTTTGACAGTAACTTTATTCTGATACACAATTTGTGTAAATGCTTGTACGGATCTGCAGTTGATAACTGCTCTTCAGTCTTCAATATCTTTAAACTGTATCTCTGGCATTAAGTTGTTGACATAGTGGATTCCTTGCATTTTAAACAACTAGCTAGGCAAATCTAACCAATTCATAGTGCTTATTATTAATAGAGATTTTTCACTACATGTTCGAATATTCAGAGACTATTCCTCTTTGTGCAAAATTTCTTTTTTCGTGGCATGCAATGTAGTTTGCAGAATAAAATGCCAAATTTCATATGGAATACAGGGAAAGCTCCACATTGGTGTATACTTTACAACGCGATTGAGCCAATCTGTGCACCATTATAATAAAATATTTCTGAAATGGGTATGTACGTGTCAGTTTTGTTTGTTGTGTTTGTGCGTTGTCATATGACAATGGAGAGATACTAACCGATGAAGGTGGATAGGGAACTATTCTGGCTACTTCTCAATATTGAACCACTATATTGCATATCACTGGTGGGATTTTTCGCATTAGTGCTTTTTTAAAGATTTTTAAATCACAACAACATTAATGCTTGTGGGGAAAACATCACCTAAAAAGTGCATCAAAATAATGCTTTCAAGCTCATCCTGAATCTGTTCAACACCACATCCACCCCAAATTGAAAGTCTCTATTTAAAATATCGTCAAGTTTGTCAAAGTAAACCCCATTTGATGTCATCCTTCCATGCTAAGTTTCTGTTCTTGCTGCTAAATAATACAATTAGAAATCATACTTGCATGATTTTGAGAACTTGTCCAACACCAAAAAAGGTAAGTCATGGCCCACAAAACATGTTTCATATCTAGCATGGTAAATAAATGGTTGAGAACAAAAGACACTGTCAAGATCTACTGCTGCAAAAGTGCCCAGTTTGGCTGTTTATTGTCTATAACTAAAAGGTGATATTCTAAATTTCTAATTAAGAGGATACTTTAGCACTAAAGAAGATATATATATAAACAACTTTTATTGAGAAGGAAAGAGAGATGATTTCCTACATGGTAATCATGATAACAGAATATAGATACTTTAAACTAGGAGGAAATTACTACCTACGTATCAGAATTCTATTCCTCCCACCCTGCTAAAGTAATATTATCTTGAAGCTTCTCAGAATCCATTTATTAATCTTATTAATATAACTGTGAGAGAGCATAAAACATTTTTTAGACTTTCATTTAGTTTTTTGAAGCAATTTGATTTGATGACAACCTTCGAATTAATTAAAGAAAAGCTTTGTTCAGGAGGAAGCCTTGTTCTCTGGCTGTTTATCAGTCTTTATTAATATATTTTTTGGCCTTAAACCTACGAGTTAGTGCATCCACACTCTGACTTGCAACTCAGGAAGGAAATAGGTTCAGAATTGCTCCTCCACTATTAATAAAATAATCATTCCAATGAATGATAGAACCACTAGCTTGGTAGTGCTTAAACGCATGAAGTAGGTCGTAGACATCGTGGACTTTATACAAGCATTGGTCGAGGGAATAACTTTAGAACAGTAATAATAATAAAAGAAAAATTCCTTTAGTTTCTTTATCATGTTAGTTGCCAAATAATTTACTCACTTTTTTATTACTAATTTTTTGGTTAAGCATGATAGAGAAAATTTCCTAGATCCATAGCTTTTGCCCTAGGAGAGTTCAAAGAATCCTTCGTTAGTCTTTATTTTCACTTTTATAGGGGTTAAAACGTGCAAACTTATCATTGGTAATGACCGGTGCGTGCCAAAAGTAGAGTTTAACCTCGAAAGCAATCATATATAAACAAATTTCTCATTTTAAATATTAATCAAACCACTCTTCTTTAATAATAAAATAATTATAAATATATTAATAAGGATAGTTGAGTTATTATTTTTATATAGATAATAATGATTGAAATATTGTTCATATTTAATATTTTGTTATATTTTTATTTTATATATTAATAGAATATATGAATAAAATACTTGATATATCGTACATATAAGTCTATAAGAATCTAAAAACTCATTAAAAGTTTTGATTTTTACAAAAAGAATGGAAAGAAGAAGAAATTTTTCACAAATCGTTATTTTTAGTGAAAGTTATAACTTATATGGGTTGTGAGAATGATCTTATCTTCAATGATTGAATTTATAAAAAGTTCTGGAAAAGGATTACATAATTGATCTGTTGCCTAAAAATTCTACCATAAGTCGTTATTTTTAGTGAAAGTTATAACTTATATGGGTTGTGAGAATGATCTTATCTTCAATGATTGAATTTATAAAAAGTTCTGGAAGAAGATTACATAATTGATCTGCTGCCTGAAAATTCTACCATAGCTCAAATCAAATTTCAGAAAAAGAAAAACTAGAAAGACAAAAGTAAAATCATGTTTGTTTGTTGGTGTTCCACAAATCCTCACCAAAATTATAACGCTAAAGTCACTCAAAGAAATTTGAGATAATTTGAAAGACCAAAATGAAGGCGATGGAAACATTTGAGGTACGAAAGTTCTAAACTTTATAAGGAAATTTGATATACAAAGGATAGTACGAGACAATCAATGAATACTCAAACAAATTATTATGTATTACTTAAAATTGCTAGATAAGGAATTTCCTGACTACAAAATAGTTTAGAAAATTCAGGTAACTGTGCCAGAGAAATATAAAACATTTATTGTTTCATTAGAAAACATAAAAAATTTGTCTAATATTACTTTGACAAAAGTGTTATATGTTTTACAAACACAAGAACAATGAAGATTAATGAGAAGAGATCATGTTGCATTGAAAGTTCTTTACTATATCATGGTAAAAGTTCTCTCTAAGTCAAGAACAACAAAGGTATCAAATCACGTGTATTTTTTGTTTGTCCTTATTGTAAGAAAAATAATCACTTATATTAAGTGTTAGTGGAGACCCGATGTAAAATATCGTAAATGTGGTCAATTAAGACATGTAGAA